CCGCCCCCGCCCCAAGCAAAGGCAGAGAGATTGAGCCGGCGGCCCTTTTCGTGCAGGAGTTGGCGATGGTGTCCCAAGCTGTGCAGCTGCTTCGGCAGGGAGTGTGGGCAGCGTTGACCGGAGGCTGGTACCACGACCCGGAGCAGAGCAGATTCGCTAACAGCTGCCACCTCTACCTCTGGCTCTTCTTGCTGCTGCTGCCCATGGCGCTGCACTTGGTGAGTCTGGCCGGCCCACCCACCGGGAGAGCTGGGCAAGATCCCAGAGGGCGAGGGATCCTCTGGTAGGCCTCTGATTTGGGGAAGTGACACATGTCGCCTTCTTGCCCGCCAGGATGTATATGGAGGAAAGCATCTTTGGAGAGCAGGACATGGCAGATTGCTGAGAGCTGAGGAGAGGTGTAAGGGGGAGGATTTAAGAGACAAAAACAAGTGACCAGAGAAGGGATCTCTAATAAAACTTACCAACTATAAAAGCTACCCCTCCTAATCATTGTAATAAAAATATCATTTCTGCCCCTTTAACCGTGTTTTCTTATTACAGAACTTTGAATTCATTGCCACTGCTCTGCTCCCACACCAAGTCTCAAACCCCAAGTGTATTTTCTTCTTTAGGTCCTGTGCTGACTAACAAAATTAAACTGGGTATATATAGAGTTGATGGGCAGCTCTGCTAGTCTTGGGTATAGTAGTATCTAAGGTCTGATTTGCAAGTTGAAAGCATACAGGTAAAGTTTATTTTGCTCACTCACTCACGCATGCATGCACACACACTACTTTTGGAGAGTTAAAAAACTAAGTATGAAGTAAATATGTAGTATCATAGCTTAATGTTCTTTAAAGAAAAATGATAATATGACAGCGACTATCATAATGAGTTATAAAGTCCCTAATCCATTCAGCACCATGAATCCCGTTAGCAAGCGACTATATTTTAGCCTCAGCTCTCTCCTCTATAACCTGAAAAGGAATAATACTACAGTATCTTACAGGCTTCTACAGATGATACTTTTCAAACACTCAGCAAAGGAACAAGGCAAATATCAGCAGTATAATTGTTACTTATTTTACCATTAGGAAAATGCAACAGTATCAATCATAATGATTGATCTTGTTATTTAAATGATCAGATCATTTTTGATGGTGAATTAGCTTGACTCTTCATTATTCTTTTGTCTAGGCGTGTCCTCCCAGTATCATCACAGCTTTCATCTACTGTGGTTCTGTGACGTTATTTTTCATGATAATAAAGGTGATCATTTATCGCCTGCATGTGATGTTTGACAAAGGAGAGATGATTCAACAAAAACTCCCTTGTAAGGAAGAGAAACAAAATAAAGAATATAAAAGAGATAATGCAATTCAGCATAAAAATCTCAGGTAAGTTTACTTCCTTATGCAAGGCTATTTGGTATTATCGGAACCAATGATGAAGAATATGTGTATGAAAGTAAGCACATCATGTATGTAATAAGACTCTGCAGATGGATCACTTATTCCACAATCATGGGATCAAATGGATGCTGGAAATTTATCAATCATAAGATAATTGTTGACCATGACAAACAGCTATTTAGGAAAGGAATTAAATTATTACCTGAAGAATAATTGACTGGTATAACTGCCATATTTCTAGTAGTACTGTGCACACCCCTATTTGCATCAGGGCTCATTTTATCCAGTAACAAGGAGCACAGAAAGAAGATTTTTTTAAAGCTACAGGATCCGTAGAAAGCTGCCTTACATGAATCAAACAACCGGTACATCTAGCTCAGTGTGGTCTGCATGGTGGCAGCCGTTCCAGGATTTGGGGCAAGAGATGCTGGGAAGTGAACCTTCTCCGTGCACAGCTTGTGTTTTCCACTCCATTATGGCTCTTCTGGATTACTCTATAGTTACCTAGAGCCAAGTAGGTAGCTTTTTCAGATTGCCCCTGAAAAAAGTTAATGGCATTTCTGAATCAGCTTGTAGTAAACTCAGCACCTTTGAGAATGATTTATTCCTTACCTAATAATGATCACTAACTTTCTTGCATCTTCATTATTTTGAACAGCAATAACATAGGGGACAATGGTACAGTCGAAGAGACCAAGCGTAATGGTTCAACACCCACCATCCACAGTAGCATCAAAGTGCAGGCTATCCTCCCTCAACACCCTTCAGGAGGCCAGGTTAGTAAATTTTGCCTGTACTTTTCACTCTATATATGCCACTGGTATCTGTTACAATAACAGATGCAATATGGGTTTTATTTTAAAAAGAACAGCGCCCCCACCCTATTTTCTTTTTTCTTAATAAAACAATACACACATTGTGCTCCAGAGTTCACCATGTTGGAAAACTGTTGCCAGTGGAGTGAAGCAGGAACAGAGAAGTTGGTATGACACATTTTGCTTCATTCCGCTAAGAGAGGAGGAGGAGATGGAATTCTCTTCTCATGATATCATGAAACTCCAATAACTTTTCGTTTTGGCCATCACACTAGAAGTAAACTTGAAAGTATGATGACCCCAAATTCTAAATGATTATTGAAAGTAACAGCTAGAGAAATTGAAAGCTACATTTTTTTTTCTTGGATCTGGCCCTTATTGAAAAATGCCCTCAGCATTGAGAGCTGAGTATTCAGCGAGTGGAAGAATGTTGGGGACACTTAAACTGAATCCGGTACCTGGCCTGATAAGTCCCTTTGCTTAGTCACAAAGGTACTGTCTTGTGACAAAACAAATCCAAACACTTTATTTGTATTCGAGAGCTCAGGAGGACATACATGGAGGGCCTGTGTACACAAGAGTGTTCTTAGTAACTGAGTATTTAAGAGATCCCCAAATATGTTTTTCAGTTGAATACAGGGACGGTTACTTCTGTGATGGAGAACATATATAGGGTACTTCTGTGTTGGAGGCTGGTCTGTCAAAGAGCGATTAGTCCACGGTCAGCCAGTGAGCTCAATGGTTCGATGGAAATTTCAACCTGGGACATCTTGGTCCACATTTAATACTTTAGCTATTACACTACATTAGCTCTCCATCATAGAAGAACCACTATATTAATGAGTAGGAATAATATGCTTCTCCATCTTACAATTTACCAGTATTTAGTTAGAGTTATAGTATTTAACTTCTTTCTTTATTGTGAAATACAGTCTGAATAAAACAGCCTAACGCCTATACCTTATGCTTTCTTGTATATATGGTTGTCTGGCAACTTGGAAAGATAGCTAAAAGATGCTGTATATTCATGTGCAGTGATTTCATTCATTAACTTGGGGGCCGTTGGAACATGGAACGTAATTACATTATTTGTTGCTTTGAAATGCATGTAATGTTATATTTACAGTTCGCATCATTTTAATTGATATGCTTCATTTCAGAACCTGCCAGCTCAAGAAACTATTGAAGATCTGAAAGGTATGTTACAAACAACATTCTATAGTGACCATGCTCAGTGGTCGTATATAGAAACTTTAGTCTGAAAGAGCTGAAGTGCAGCAGAAACACTTTCAAACTAATTGAAAGAAAAGGCCACTTCTCAGGCCTGGTTATAGCTTATTCATATTATTTATTTTCTTTAAAGACATCTTTTTAATGAACAGTCACATTTTAAGCCAAATAGATTTATATTTCTTGGCTCATTTAAAACATCACTGTCCTCTATGAACCAATCCTCCTTAAAGAATCTGAATTATATTTCTTTGTATCCCCTATCCATGTAATCATCAGGAATGTTCCTCAACTTGAGGGGATCTTCAGTTTATCTTTTCTTTTCAAGAATCTTTGGGGGGGGGGGTTATATCTCCTCTCCTCCCTGGCTTTGTCTTTCGAAGTTGTACAGAGCTGCCAAGCTGTGATGAATTCCTACTGAATTTCATGGAGTTTACAGCACAATCCCACACAATTATTAAGGATTACAGAATAAATCTCATATGGAAGACATGAACTCTATCCTTATTTTGTTGTTTTTGCTGCATCTGAATTAGCGTCCTTAGTATTTGAAATATTTTATACGTTTGAATATCTGCTTCATAAAATGTTTTATCTTTTTTTAAAAAAAAGAATAATGATACATGCATATTTTCATGGTTTTCTACTGATCTATATCATTTTTTGTAGATTCTAACTCAAGAAAACGTGGGTGGTGTCAAAGTAAATTTAGACACGTTCATGTTCCATTCAGAGCAATAGGATTTAACTGTACGCTGAGCGCTAATTTTCATGAATTTTCTAGAATGCCTTTCCTGGGAAAGCTCCGTGTATCTCTGACATGCTGTATCTCTGTGTCTCTTTTTACTAGGAGTATTGGTTTCAGAAGAACAGCCTGTCCCACCGGTATTGCTGACCTCACCCTGCATCAAAGCAGATATTCTGTCTTCTTCTGTGGCATGTATGCCAAGTTCTCCCACACCAGCAATAGTGGCCAAGCCGAATGCTGTGGAGACTATTATCAATAATGGAACAAGTGAAAAAGAAGAGAAGGCACAGCCTTCTAGCCATAGTGGAGAAGAGGATGCTCCTCTTGATAAAGATGTGATTGTTAACAAATTGCCAAATCTTTCCTTGTCCCAGTGCGATGTTTTAAAAACAGGCAAATCTTTTGAGCCTTGGAGTATTGACAATTCTGTCATCTTGTCAGAGCATTTAAACAATCCCAAGTGTTTCAGGAAAGAGAAATTACTGGATGGGTCAGCTCAAGACAGCACTACAACCAGTTTCCCTCAGTGCACTACTGTGGTAGCTAAGGGACTTGCAGAAAGCTCTTCTTATGGGGATGACCCAAAAGTACAATTTGATGAATCAGAAAGTGAGGTAGCTGTGGCTCTGGTGGACAATTCTCATTCTGGGGATCCATTCACGTTACATGAACCCATTAAAATAGTTATCACTATGAGTAGTGCCCAGAACTCAGCTACTGATTTAGAAGGCTTGCATCATATGGGTGCTGAGAAATCTGGTTCAGATCCAGAATCTGGTGTTGCTACAACAGTTCAAGGCAGTAAACAAAGCAACAATCAGATGATAATCCCTGTCATTACTTTTGAACTATCTGAGGACAGTGGAGGCCATGCTTTTCAAGAAGTAAGTGAAAGTTTAAGAACCCCAGACAATTTAAATGTAGATGCATCATCTAATCAATGTTCTGGCTATGAATCTGGTGAACAAGACAATATTGGAAAGGAATACAGTGACAATCCAGTAAATAATCATGAAGGAGCAATTATTTCTCCTGTAAATGCTTCTGGAACTCTAGAAGACCCAGAGGAAGGACACTGGAATTTGGAAGTCCCCTTGTATAAAACAGCTCATGAAAAGAGACATGCTCGTGTTCTCAGTGTGGATAGTGGGACAGATGTGTTTTTAAGTAAGAATTCTTCAGGGACTGTTAGTGGAAAAGAAAAACTTTTGCCAACCTCAAAATCTGATCTGGAAGCTAAAGAAGGACAGATACCAAATGAATCAAATTTCTTAGAATTTGTTTCACTGCTGGAATCCATCAGTACTTCAAAGCCAACAGCATCAGATTTGAAAGCAGATCCTGCAAAAGATAAAGGGCCAGCTGGAGGTACACTGCCTAATTCAAATTATTAGTTTCCAGTACACACAAGGAAATGTGGGGAATTTATGTGCATTAAAAGCAGTTTCCATTCATGCTAAAAAGCAAGGAATAGCCACTAATAAGTACATATGCTCTAGAATATTAAACATGAAAGGGATGTGCATAAATAAATACCTTATCCATAAATCCTTAGTTGATATAAGATGGATAGGGTTTTTTGGGCTGCAGTCGATATATATTGGATACTATATTTGATTAGTTTTTAAGAAGACACATTGTCTCCTGGTTGATCTTATTCTCTATCCTTTGCTGGGTTTGGAAAAAAAATACATTTCTTCACTCAGCCCTTCTTACAGTTATAAGCAATTGATTCCATTCTTTAGGAGTGTGTGTTCATGTATAAATAACAAATATACTTATATGTATCTTTTATAGAAATGCTGTTCCATTCCAAAATCTTCTCCAAATCAGATTTTCCAGTACTGTCATAATATTTATCTTTTCAGACCCTAATGTAGCTAATGCAGGAAAGGGATATGGCCTTCAGCTTTGAACAGAATGACATGTTGATCATAGATTGTAAAATAAGCTATAGATTGTAAAATAATTTTCAGTTACTTCCTAAATAAGCTGACTCTCTCTTTTGCAATATTAGAATTTAGGATCATCTATAAAAAATGAATAAGTTGCAGATAAAGGAAGTTAAGCTGTTGAACATCATGATAGCTACCAATTTAGGTGATTTTAAAGGATTATTAAATAAATGTATGGGTGATTTGGCTTTCAGGATCTATTAGTTTTGGTGGCTGTATAATACAATCATGATTAGGGTGGCAAGTCTCATAGCATGTATCTTACATATTGGATGCTGGAGAACAAATGGGAAGAGAGCTTGTTTGTGCGTCTGAATTTTCCTAGATATAGCTGATTGGCTGCTGCGTGACATAAAAAGCTAGACTTGATGGGCCCTTGGCTCAGGGCAGCAGGGCTCCACGTACGAAGTTCTATCAACCTCTGGGGAACGTAATTTTCACCAGTATTTAAGTGGATAAGATTCTTAAAGATCTAGATGTTGGAATAAGCAATGGAATAGGTGAACTATTGGATTAGCATTAAGAGCATTAAACTGGGGAACAGGTAATAAATGAATAGGATTTTTTAAAAAAAGTCAGTTATCCCAGAGGTAGGAGAAGGCAGCATAATAGAAACATGGGATGTCTGAGGAAGACAGAGATTATAGAATTTAAAGATGAGGACCAAAGAGCAAAGAGGAAGAGGAAGGAGAAGCAAGCTCAGGACTGAGCAACCTATATATAGTTGAACTAACAGTGAAATCAAGGAGACAGAAAAGGAGGAAAAGGAAAGATTTAGTGTCTCATTTCTTACAGACTCAGGTTAGAAGTCACTCCATCAATCCATGCAAATGTAAAGGAAAAGATAGCAGATGGTTCGTTTAATACTTGTGTAGCTTTTTTTCAGCACCACCAGTGCACATCATTCAGCATACATAAGTGCTTGGCCCAATAAATGTATTAACTTAGATTCTCAGGGGTGGAGGAATGAATTAATGTGATCATAAATTGGCTGGTGTGGGTCTTCCGGGCTGTGTGGCTGTGTTCTTGAAGTTTTGTTTCCTAACATTTTGCCAGCACCTGGCATCTTTTGCCAGCACCTGGCA